TTTTTATATGTAATTATATATATATTTCTACAATGTTAAAAAAAAAAAAAAAAAAAAAAAAAAAAAAAAAACAGCGATTGAATTGAATAAAGAAGTAAAGTCATAATTTTATTTCATAGGGGAGAAAGATAAATTTTATTTATGTGATGCAAACGTAGATTTTCAAATTGAATTCAATTCAAAAATTATTATGTGTATTAATTTACGTTTAAAATAAATAATATATTTTGCACAAACACTTAATTGCGATTTCATCCGCGTTAGCAAATCAAACGACTTACCGAGCCAGGAATCGGCGCTGGCGTTATTCGGTGACTTTTTGCTACTTTTCGTCACTCGATCGCTGTCGCAGCAAAAAAGATCGTCGGCTTACACCCACGTTCACGTCCGCAAGAAAAAATAACGAAGTATATAAGCGTTCGATTGTCGTGCTGGAGAATCAAACACACCTTGAACAGGAGAACAAACGGCTACAACCGTGTGCGAACGCTCGCGTGGCCTATCCGAGACTACACCAGGGCACAAGACAAACGCCCCGCGCGCGCGTCGCGTTAATGAAAGCGACGTACCCCACTGCGGGGCATCGGTCGTCGCGCACCTCCTACGCGCAGCATAAAGACTTTTCGCTTAATAATGTAGGCTGCTCTGCCTACTCAGATGCGATATTCATTGCACTTTTCATTTATTTAAAGGGTTTTGCACTCGTGTTTTTTAATTACATAAATTAAATTTAAATGTTTAATATTCATTATTAGAGTATATTTGTATAAATATTCATATTGCACATTTCTATGCTATTGAAGATCATGCGCGAATATGTTTTTTATTCTTTTGCGTCATATTGAATATTTAAATATTTAAATATTAAAAATATCAGAAATAGTAAAATTAACAAAAACTCTAAAAACAAGAAAGTTATTGGTGCGCGTGAAAGGTAAAATAAAATATTCAAATCCGATTAAGTAAACATATAGGTCGTTTTGATCATGTATTTTAATAATCTGCAGCTTCGCGAACAATATTAAAACATTGTTTTCATCCTTCTGCGTACTCGTCAATTTATCCAACTTGTATCTATATTTCATCCCCCGTACAAAATATTAAACGTGTTAGGTTCCATAGTTTCACAACGTATTCACGCCGGAAGCGCGAATACGTTGCACAGCTAGCTTACTAATTGCATAAAAGAGAAATCTCGGTTTCGATTTGATTAAGAAATCTACCATGTATTACTGATAAGAACCCTATTGCACAGAAAGCAATTAAAAAAAATAAATATATATTTCTACCTTTTCGAAATAAAATCTAACACTCCACGTTTCGCAACAAATATATATAATTTCATAAATTGGTGATCAATATACTTTGCTTCCTAATTGATCTTTCATAAGTTTTAATTTGTTTTACTTATGCGTGAGAGAAAATCTAGAACAAATACTCACGATTTCGCTGTGTTTAAATCTGATTCTTTGGATTAGAGATTAGACTTTCGAAAAGAACCATTGCGGATGCACCTACGCGCCTCAGGTGGGCGTGTCAACGTCATCTGGCTTTAATCGTCGTTTTTCGTAGATCGCGTATAGTCTGCAAGCAAAAAATATCAAAAGAATCGTGAGCTTGTTCGAGCAACGTCCTCGCCAGTTTTTTTGCAACAAAATGCCAATTGTTTGTTTTCTTGTTCAGTTTCTTATTGCGCCCGCAGTTCTATTGTTTTCATTCCGTTGTAACGCGATTCTATTTCGTCTATTTTCCGACTACGCAAAGCCGAGCTTTCTACGTAGGCTTGTAAAAGAATTTTCCTGGTCATTTTCCTTTGATCGTAATACGCTCGAGATGCAAAAAAAAAAAAAAATCTCGGCAAATATCGTGACGTAACTTTCTCGTACACGTCATTATCCTGTGCACGTCAGTACCACGTCATATATGCGCTAGTTTAGATCCTCTTGTTACATCAGAGAACATGTAATACTTTTATTATACTAACATGCAGACTACTGTATCGATATTCGTGTAGGCAGAAAGCGATATAACAAAAATAAAACGTGGAATATATTTTAAAGGAGAGTTTTATAACATTTTTTCTGCAGAACATCTAGTGTTTATTATTGTATTTCATAGTTATATAATTGAAGTTGCTTTCTAATTTTATTTTGATAAAAACAATTTGACGAACAAAAAAGCACCAACCTTTTTAGCGTCCTCCAACGTTGTGGGAGTATAGTGGGTATTGATTGCTCGCGCCATATTACAGTAGTCATGATACAAGATATATTGATCCTTCATCCACCGTCTTATTGCCAAAACTCTCTCCTGAAGCATGGCACGCTGATCGACTGATTCCAAGTCGATTACGTCTAAAGGAAAAACTATTTCGTGTTTTCATGACATCGCGAATAAATTAAGCAAAAAGAAAAATACTAAAAATGGAACAAAAGATCAGTGTTGTGAGTTCAAAACATTTTTAAATAAGAAATTACAATAATATTGATGATGGCTATCGATGATAAAAATATACATGAAAAGCAAGTTTAACTGTAAATCACCAGGCTCCGTAAATCCTGCTATATTCGGAAATTCCAAAGGACAGAAATAGGTTTGAGAACGATCCAATTCTGGTCTCGAGTTCCTCAGTTCGTTCATATATTTTTGGAGGCTCTCCCGTTCTTCTCGCAGTCGCAATTCAACAATCCGCTTCTGAAGTCGAAGCATTTGTTTCCCGTTCAACTTCAAAGCCTTGTCTTTCCCCCGTTTTTCGACGCCATTGCGAGCATCTGTTGATTTTACATTTGTAACTTTAGGCCTTTTTCTCCTTCTCTTCGTGCTGCGTTCGCAACCATTGTCAGACTGAAAATAGCACATGAATAGCTCTTTTTCAATAGATTTTATACTCATTACATGAATCTTTTATCTCGAATTAAGTAAAACTACTAACGTGCATTATTCCTAGATTTTACAATAAATACAATAAATACAGAAAAAATATTCTCAATAAAATATATGTTTAAATAAAAGTTAAAACTAACATTTACTGGTTCATCTTTTTCTGAAGAGTGACGAGTCTCCTCTTCTTTTCTCACTTTCTTTCTTATTTTTGTCACGCCTCGAGCCTTAGTCTCTGTTTCGCTCTTAGTGGAGCTTTTTGAAGTCTTTTTAGAACGTGTTATTGGAACGTGGTGCTTGGCTAACGCGTCAATCACATTTCTGTGCAATTTTCTCATCGCATACTTCGTGTCCTCATGAATCTGTGAATCTGCGTCTTTCTCTAAACCATATTCGTTCCTGTTCTCCTCTTTCAACAAACTAGACTTTTCCGAAACGGTCTCATCTTCGTCGCTCATCGCTGGCAATTCGCCGACATCTATCGTAGATTCTTTTGTTGTCTCTTGTTTTGATGCTTTTCCGTAATCTTCTTGATCGCTATCTTGCCGGACAGAAGTAATAATCTTGATCTCAGAAGAGCTTTTATCATCACTCTTTGTTGCATCGACGATTAACGTCTTCGAGAAGCTCGATATGTCTTTATGCGACGTATTGTTCTCCTTTATATTAGATAGCGCCGAATCGGGTATTTTCTTCATTTCATCGATCGGTTTCTCGCTCTGCAATTCCGAGTTCAATCGCATTGGCGAACTCGAAATGTTCTCAAACGTATCGTTGGCGTATTGGCTTTCGACTACCAGACGTTTCGAGCTACTCGAATCTGACGTAGACGCGTTTTGCGCTACCATTTGTTTGGAATATTTGGAAACATTAATAGAATTTTCTTCGATTTTGTCCGCGATCGTTTCATCGACAGGAGACATTTCCGATTTAATTTCACTAACGTCCTCTATTGTACTAATCGACTCTTCGATAATGCTGTTATCGTGGAAAAACTCAGAACGATTAGGACGTTTCGAATTCCACTCAGAACTCGCTATTTTCGCCAGTTTGACGGACGTTTCCTGTTTGATCGCATGTTTTTCGGACTGTGGATCGAAATATATCTTTGATGCTTTTTTCTTTGATTTTTCAGACTCTCTCGATCGCTTAAGGTTCGATGAATTATCAAACGATTGTGCCTCCTCTGTACTTTTGGATAATTTATCGGATTTCTTTGTTTTTCCATATTTTCCAGTCGATTTTTCTTCGTGTTGAGAAAGTTTCGAAAGAGTTTCTTGCAATGTTTTCGAGCGCGAAAATGACTTTGATGAATTATCATCTTTGATCGAGCTGTTCTCCTGAATAGTCGAGTTGGAACTTTCTTGCTTGTCGATGAAAGGCGACGATTTATTTTCCGACAATATTGCTGTGTCAAGCTCAGGTTTGTCAGTAGTTTCTTTTAATTTCGGATTTATTGCATCTAACGATGAGTTTTTTTGAAAGTTTGTTTCTTCCACATCTTCTTCAAAGTAAGTATTTGGTATTTTTATTTCGAGCTTCGCTTTTGCGGTATTTTTTAGCAGTTGTTTTGTTTCCGCGAAAAGCTTCTCCGAAGGATTTATTGAAACGCTGCTTATCGGACTGTCACTTTCCTAATTAAGATGTGCAAAATGTCGTGTCACAACGTTCCTCTAATGAAAAATTAACTTCTACAGAAAATTTATACAAGAACTTGAAAAATGCAATTCGTAAAATTCTTTTTTCACTAGACGTGTTCCAATTCCTAACTTTTGGTTTTATTTAGTTATTTCACCGTAACAAAAATAAATTAAATAAATATGAAATAAATTAAAGAAATATAAAAATAAATTAAATAAAAATAAAGTAAATAGAGAAAATCTATGTTTTTAATTATTATAGTGATTCACAATTGTTTCAAGTTTTTGGCAGTTTAAAACTTAGTAACTTTACAGAATAACATTTCGTACTCACTTGCTCGCGATTCCATTTTTGTTCCTTGCGTTTCAATTTGTATTTCGTTTCTATTTCCTTTACTCGCATCAGCGCCGCGTTTGCTTTCGAGGAAAGCATTCTTGTATTCCTCTATTTTTTCCCGTCGAGAATGTCAAAAACTATTGAAATTTAGCTAACAATTTCCCTGCTCGATCTCGCGTGTATTACTTATAAATTTCAATCATCTCTCAAATTACCTGAGAAAAATTCTGATTTGAAAGTCAGTTTTACAACGAGTTTCTCTCCGCTTTTCTCGTCGTGACGAGTTTGCTTTCTCGTTGCCATGACAACAGCCTCTCGCTTGATATCGATATCTATGTATATATATGTATCAGTTCGAGAATTCGACTAGTCGATATACGTCCTCGATAAACGCCACCGTATCAACAACTGATAAATACGTTTCGTCGTGGGATTATGGAATCAACGTGTGTGCTGCATCACGGCCACGGTGCGGCGCGCCGTTGGTCAAGCGTGGTAGGCGTTGATTGGTCGGCGCGCATCCACCAATCGGCGCCCTCCATCTGTCTGGCCCGACAAACTCTAAACTCAACAACCACGTCCGCCGCACGGGCAGATTCGGCCAGTTCGTCGTGGCGATAGGTGCTTGTACGCAATCGTCTTCTTGGACGCACGTCCTCTCGGCGGTTCTTCGAGAAAATGCGACGGTTTGAGTGTGTCGTGTTCGTTGTCCTCCTAGCTTTGGCTACGGCGGAGATCTACTTGGACGAGAAGTTCAGCGATGGTAAGTTGGAAAGCGGACTTGTCGTTGTCGTCGTCGTCCGTTCGATCGCGGGGAAAACCGGCCCCCGGCCCGATCCCGCAGCGGCTTTTCCTTCTTCTCTCTTTGCCACGAAAACCGTTGCGAATTCGGAATCTTGCTCTCAGCCTTTTCCTCGCCGAGAAAACCACACCCTTGCTTGTCCATCTTGCATGTGTTTCGCTGCTCCTTTCTGTTCTGACGAGACACGAATGGGAGGAGAACGAAAAAGAGTATGTCGACGACGTATCGCAGGAGAATGCGAACACTTCTCCTTGGTAACCGCACGCGCTCCATCTCGTAGCCCGAAATCGGCTGGTCACCGATTGACTCCTCGCCGTGTCTGACGTGTCTCTTGTCTGTCAAAAGCAAAACTATTTCATGTCGCTTTGCTTTGTGAATGATGGAAGAATCGCGTTAACGCGATACATGAAACGCGCGCATCGTGGTGACATGTCTAAGCGTCGTCGTTTCTTCTCGAGCGCATCGGCCATATGCACCGTGTGACGCGTCGTCGACCTAGGAGGAAAAAAGAAAGAAGAATAGGACGCGTGTATACGCAATCGGAAATTGTCTCGTGGCAAATCGCCGTGTAACGCGGGACACATCTCGCTTCTGTCGCGCCGACATGACGCCGTCAAGATCGATCCGTCGATCTGTGTGCGCGCTCGAAACTCCAGTTAGCGGTAAACGACGCGAACGACGAGGTTGATCTCGCTAGGCCGGAACGTTTGTAGCCGGGCAAAACTGACTCGGTACGCGTCATCACGTAATTTTTACTTTCTTTCTGCGCGTTCGCTTTTTTTTTTTTTTTTATCTCCCGAACTCTGGGCACTGGGTGGCTGTTTCGAGCCAAAGTGGCTTCATGTCGACGAACGATTCTTTATCAGCGGTGGACGTCATTACACCGAATTTAGATTTCAATGTCACAAAATGCCAAAATGTCCATAATGTTTTTTTTTTTATTTATTTCTAAACAAAAAGAAGAGAACTGCAAAGAAACATTTATATCATATGAGAAATATATATATATATATATATATAAATATTTATATCACATGAAAAATATTTTTATCATATGGGTGATTCTCTGTGAACACGTAAATTTCAACTTTCATTTTTGATAAAAAATACTTATTATTAAACTAACGGATAGCAATGAATTATGTTTTTTCATACCATTTTAAGTCACCATTCGTAATATAAATACGTAACTATGCAATATAAAAAACTTATCTATGTTTTTTATGTCAATATACCACGGAGATTATGTTTTTTGAAAATACCCATATAAGAAAATTTATATGTAGATAAGAGATAAGAAAAAGAAACAAAAGTTGTATTGTAATTTTTATAAATATTTTAATAGTTTTTTTCCTGTTTCAGAAAATGATAAAAAAGAATATTTGAAAATATTATTTTATATTGAATTTTTTCTTTATAAATCAAGATATCTAGAAATAAAATCTTATCATAGATAGAAATCACATATAGTATCTTACAATAATAATACATTGATTATGAATTTTTATTTCTTGTATTATTAAACAAATTAAAATATAAAAGCTTCTGTGTATTGTGTGCATAGATCTAAAATGAGTTGTTAATAAAAATATGCGTATAAAAACATTTAAAGTAGTATTTCTTAAATATATTTTTAGTGCTTTTTTTTTACATATACACTAATTTTCTACTTCAGAAAAATTTTATTCACATTTCAGATTCGTGGGAGAAAAATTGGGTATATTCTGAACACAGTGGCAAGGAGTTCGGAAAATTTGTTTTAAGTCACGGAAAGTTCTGGAACGATCCAGAAAACGATAAAGGTACGCAAAGTTATTGAAATACTTGTGGATAAAATATAAAGTTTTTAATACCTATTTTTTTCTCCAATTCTTTTCAGGAATCCAAACATCACAAGATGCAAGGTTTTATGCCATTAGTAAAAAATTCACACCATTCAGTAACAAGGATAAAACTCTTGTTGTTCAATTCACCGTCAAGCACGAACAGAACATCGACTGCGGCGGCGGGTACCTGAAAGTGTTTGACTGCTCGCTTGACCAGAAAGATATGCATGGCGAAAGCCCGTATCAAATTATGTTCGGTAAGTCTTCTTATCAAAGGAACTGTCTTATCAATATTGCGATAATGATAAACAATCCGAGCCTAGAGTCACTGGTCATACCGGTGTATGATGAGTGCTAGAGGATCTCGGAGAATAATATTCTTTGATATGCCCTGTGTATGATACTTAATACATATTGCAGGCACCAAATGAGATACATTTTTATTATCAGCTTCAAATTATTGAATTATCTATTTCTTATCTTCTCAGTTCTAAAATGTCAACTTGTAATATCTTCCGCAGGACCCGATATCTGTGGTCCAGGTACCAAAAAGGTTCACGTTATCTTCAGCTACAAAGGCAAGAACCTTTTGATCAACAAGGATATTCGTTGCAAGGACGATATCTACACACACTTGTACACTCTGATTGTCAAGCCCGATAACACATACAAGGTGTGTTATAATTTTCTTACTGTGTGATATAAGTATCATTACATCGAGCCTAGAGTCTCATGTCTTCACTTATAGTGGAGGGCAGGTGCTAATGGATCTCGTAGAATAAAGCCAGTCTTGTTTGTTCATTGTACAGAGTACAAGTGACGCCAACTTGCTGTACGCGAACGGCAAAGATCGACACGTCAATGCATTTTGCTGTCAACATTTGTCAACTTTTTTTATTCTTCAACAAAATTATTGCTTCAGGTCCTTATTGACAACGAGGAGGTAGAGTCTGGCGAATTGGAAGCGGATTGGAACTTCTTGCCCCCGAAGAAGATCAAGGATCCGTCTCAGAGCAAGCCTGCCGACTGGGATGACAAGCCTACCATCGACGATCCTGAAGATAAAAAGCCCGACGATTGGGACAAGCCCGAGCACATTCCTGATCCCGAAGCCACCAAGCCTGAAGACTGGGACGATGAGATGGACGGCGAGTGGGAAGCTCCCTTAATTGATAATCCTGACTACAAGGTTTGTGGAGTGTCGAGTTCAATATATTTTAGAGTTTGTCTATTTTTTTCTGTTTTTTTTTTTATCGTCATTCTGGAGTTACGTAATTCTTTCAGGGTGAATGGAAACCAAAACAAATTGACAATCCCAACTACAAGGGACCGTGGATTCATCCTGAAATTGATAATCCGGAATACACTCCCGATCCCGAATTGTACAAGCGTGACGAGATCTGCGCCGTTGGCTTCGACTTGTGGCAAGTTAAATCCGGCACTATTTTCGACAACGTTCTAATTACTGACGATCCGGAGATCGCACGTAAATTCGGAGAAGAAATTTGGAAACCTACTTTGGTAAACACTTTGTTTCTGTTTGATGTTTCTTTTTTGTTTTTATTCTTAATGATATTCATTTTGCACATTTTCCCCCAAAAAAATTTTTATATAGGAAGGTGAGAAGAAGATGAAGGAAGCGCAGGACGAAGAGGAGAGAATACAGAGAGACAAAGAGATTAAGGAAAACTCCGACAGTAAGGACGATGAAGATGATGAGGAATTAGATGATGAAGACAACAGTGTTACAGACAACGATGCCAACGAAGTCAACGAAGTAAGTGTCGAAAGAATTGTCTAAAATTATTATTTCTTTTTTTAGTAAGAGTTCACGTAAGAACTTACATATGATGTGTATATTTGTTTCCGATTAACTGACGATAAGCAACACTGGAATTCCTCGTTTCTGATTTGTTAAACATATTTACATATCACAAGTGAAATACTATCAATGATATTAATCAATTTTGTTCTTTGTTTGTGTTTTTTGCAGGAACACGATGAATTATAAAGAAGAGCGTTGTGTGTAGACACAAAAAAACAGACTGTATTCCAGGAGCTATGTGGCCGCGACACGTACTAATTTCTCCCAGGCACAAAATCGTAATTGCGAGGCACGTAATAGCAAGAAAAAAAATAGACTAAACCCTCATCCGATTGTTGTCTGTTGCATTATTTGAGAAAATATCACACGTCACATGGCTTTTTTTCGTCGATTTTTAAGGAAAGAAATTTTTCTCAACATTTTTCTGTAGTGAAATAGTTCGATCTTGGTATCAACGCCTAAACACATTTTATTTATTTGGTATCTTGTTCGAGAAATATCAGAATCCGAATATTAACGTGCTTAAATCAAGTGAATCGATATTTCCGGAAGATACTCAAGAGTGCACGTTGGAATACGAAAGAAAAAACTATTAAAACATAGAAAACGAGAAAGAAGCGCGAAGTGAGAAGATAATGAAAGAATTGTTTTAACCCGTGTCCACCATCGGCGCAGCTCCACAAAAGACTATAAGTTGTTCCGTTTTTGTTTGTCAAGTGTTTTTATATACATTAAAAATGTGAAATGTAATTTAAATAACGCAATGCTAATTATTAAAAAAAAAATATATTATTATTATTATTATTATTATTATTTCATCTCCGTAAAAGAAAAAATCCGCGTAATTATTATTATAGTAAAGAAAACAAAAGGAAGAAGAATATGCTCTAACTATGCGAAAGAATGGTGAATGTGTGCAAATGTGTTTGAATGCTAAACCAATTGGTGTGAATATGTATTAAATGCAATCCGAGTAACCATGTAATAAAATAAATAAGACTTTTCTAGATGTGCTCAGGTGTTTATTTTTGTGGGATCTCAAGCGTCCAAAATCTCGATTGAAAATGCGAAACCTAATCCTAGTTACTGATCTATATTTTCACTACTTGTAGTAACGTATAGGATTAATTGTGTAATTGCTTCCGATTTGCATTGTATATGTACATACATGCATATACGCGCTGTTTTATTGTAATCATGTTCGAATATGATTAATCTTGTAGTTCCATTTTTATATCGAAAAATAAACTGACAGTTTTCTTCGAAACGTCTATTTCGCAGCTTAAATCTATTGCATTTTCTTTTTTTTTTGTTTTTTTAATCTAATGCGACTCGCTAAAAGCACCGTATCTTGTACGTTGACAAAATACGTAACAAGTAACGTAAGAGAGATTCGTTTAACTTACGTCGATATCCACATTCACGAAAGCAAGAAAATTATGTTTTCTAAGTTAAATACTAATAAATAAAAAACAACGACGCTTAGATATAACAATTTGTTCAACAATTTTCAAAGTGTATCTGATATCTAAAGAAATTTCTTCTTTAAAAACAATTATATATAAGAAACAAATCCAACGAAGACACAAAAATTCTTATCATGATTTTTGTCTAATTTCAGTCCAAATTTCAGTTTATACGGAAATCGCTGAAAACAGACACATGTGTTTTTCTCCTCGACTTCCTGTTATTAAACAAATAGCTTTGCACAACAACAAAAGGAAAACACGTTTACACGCATTGCGTTGAGAGCCAGTCGAGACCCTGCAGTGTGCCACTGGCGTTCGTGACTAACGACGAGCCTTGAATGTGCCACACTCTCGCGCAGCAAAGTTTATGCAAACCGAATATGTCGACCAGCTCCTCGACGTTTGCACAGCCTGGAACATCCTGTAAATATACACCTATTTACACATCAAATAATAATATACGCGTGTGCACGTGTATAAATATGTATACAGTGAGTAAAAGTAGAAGCCTCAAGTAATTTATCTTATCAACTACAACTATGTCATCTGTCTTAATAAATAGAGCTAATTTGTAAAATATATTTTACTTTGATATTCTTACTTGTTTATTAGCATAAATCAAAAGCAAAGCGTCTTTTAACTCTCGGTCATAAAGTATCTTCGATAATTCATTTTGTGCTTCTTCGAAGCGCGACCTGTTACTGGCGTCGATCACGAAAATAACAGCTTGCGTGTTGTAGAAGTAATGCTTCCATAGCGGCCTGAACTTCTGATGGCCGCTAACGTCCCAGAGAGTGAACACAAGATTCATATATTCCAAGCTTTCGACATTGAAGCCAATTGTAGGAATTGGCGGATTCGACAGCGTGACACCTCGCATTGCAGACAAAATACTTGTTTTACCTGCTCCGTCCAGTCCCACGATTACTACGCGCATATCGATTTTTGTTCCGATATGTATTCTGTTGTCCTGTACACAAGAAGATATCCAACCAAAAATATTTAACAATACAATAAACAATACGGTTTCAATAAGTATGAACTTAAATCAAGAAATAGGACTTTATAACCATTGTACGCTGGATGTATGGTTATAAAATTAACAATTTTAAAATTTATACAGGATGAAATTTTGCATCATGTATATATGTGTGGGTGTAAACATATGTATGGTCAAATTCCGAAGCGCAAGCGTTTCTAGGATAGACTGGTCAATGTGTAGAACAACCAAGCGATTTAGTCAAAGCCCAAAATAGTTTCGGGCTTTTGACTAGTATGATTTAAGTCAATCCTAGGAGTGACTAACATGGCTGGTTAAAATTAAAAACTAAAAAAATCACTTCAGACTTTGTCTAGTCTGATTCTAGATGTGACTTAATTTAGATCTTGACTTAATTAAAAAATAAAACCAAGATTTTTGAATAATGTTTTTATTATTAACATAACGTAGGCTTACTCTTATTATTCTTTCCCCTTAAATTTAAAACGTAATTTAATTTTAAAATATTAAACACAAGTTTTTAATGAAAATCTTAGAAAGTACCTATTTAATATTAGGTACTTTTAAAATAATATAAAATAAATCTTTTGTAAATATTTAGTCTTCTAAAACATAAAATGTACTCCCTTTTAAATTACACATAAAAATATCTTGATTATACTTGTTAATACTTTGTATAAAAACAAAATATTTTCAAAATTAGGGGCACCATAGAAAATTTTTTGAAAACTATAAGTACAGAGCATAGAAAAATCTTAAATTGTTAATATGAAAAAAAATTAAGAAGAAATACCTAATTGTTAAAATATCATACATCGACACTTCTCTCAGGGATGATTCTATATTGGATGTCATTAATATTAATAAAATCTTCCTTACATTGTTGTATCTTGATTCCTTAAAAAAAATGTATTTATAGTTTCTTGTTTGGTGCCCACCTTATAAAAAGAATTAAAAAATACTATCATCGAGTTTTTCTCTTATTACGTCAAGCACATTTCGAACGTCACCTTTCTATCCACGCATGGGAGCAAGTATGTAGTAACGGTTTCTCATATCCACCTCTCAATGGATGGAAATTTTTTATTGGATAATTATTTTATAGTATTTGCTTGAGCTTGAAGTCCATCAATAGTCATTCCCTTGTTCATAGTTACTAATTCTTTTTGTGCTCAGCGTATATACATCACTGTACTTCCAAAATATTTTTCTGAACTTAGTGTACTATCAGCGCATATAGTGTGTACACAATTTACCCACATTATGTATACAAATTTACCCATATTATATACAGCAGATATATGTTCCAGAACTCTTTTTCACAAATACAGCATATATTCACATTCATGTTGATGTTTTGTTGAATATTTATTTCTTCTACAGGATGTATAATTAGATTAGAATCATCTTGTGTTGGGACATCATCATCAAATGTATTTTTATTCTCTTCCGATAGTGTTTTCTAATTCTTCTTCAGTTCGGAGAGTCTTTTTTATAGAATCTGGCAGAGTCTGTATTCCTACGTGAGCTTTTCTTCCTGTAACAAAAAAAAAAAAAAAAAAAACCAGTCAATTTTTATTTATAGATAGTATATAGAAACTTATATATTAAAGTTATACTTACCAAACATGACTTCAAATGGAATTTGTTGTATTCCAGTGTGATAGGTGCAATTTTTCTGCAATTGACAGAACTTAAGACCTTCAATCCAACAATTGGTCTTATTATCCTCCATCCAAGCAAACAAAATTTTCAGTATATCTTGATTTATCTGCTCTACACTATCTTGACTTTGGAAATGTTGGGATTTACCATGTACTATAGATAATTCAGGCCACATGATTTTCAATTCCTCAATGATACAATTGGCAAATTCTCTGCCATTGTCCGATTGAAGCACTGAAGGGGCACCCAAAATACAAAAAATATCTACAAGAATATAAGCTACTTCTCTTGCGGTCGTTGTTTGCAAAGGACGTAAAATCACAAATTTTGTCAGGTGATCTTGATAGTTCAAAATATATTTGTAATCACGATCGGGATACATTTGCATGTCGATGAGATCAACTTGTGCGCGTGCTTGAATCTCTGTAAATGGTCTTACCATCTCGTTTTTAGAATGATTCTTTTTTTTTTTGCATGGCACACATAAGTCTAAATAAAAGTTAATGCATTCTTTCGTAACATTTGCATATTTATTTCTTAGCATTTGTACCGTACGGTCTCTACCTCCATGACCACATTCACGATGAGCACTGTCAATTATGTCAAACAACTCGTCATCTGTGACATAATATTGTACGTTTATCTTATCAGAGAGCGGCATGATCAATTTTTCCACATCCCCAACACGCAAGATGTCATAACGCTTCAGACGTCGATAATGTAATGATGTCTTTTTTTGTGCCATCTTTGCAGATTTTACCTCACTGATTAACTCTTCATATTTTTGTCGGGTTTCGATATGAAAAGAACATGACGTTTTCTTCAAGCTCATAACTTTTTCCATAAATTTAGTTTTTAAATCATGTATGTCCACTTCCTTGGTCACATCACATTTGTTTTCATTCATCTTAAATATTGTTATACTTTTCACAATGCATAATAACAATTAACAACAAATAAAACACGTTACAAAACGATACAGATAATACACACAATTGCTGCTTGCTAGACGCATAATAAATTGCAACGCACTTGCGCCACGAATCGCACACAGACAGCAGGACAGGTTAGCCATGCGCGCGTAAGGCGTATATCAGACTTAAATGGCGTCATTATAATCACACCTATGATTGACTAGTCAAGATCCGAAGTGATTTTTTTAGTTTTTAACTTTAACCAGTCATGTTTAGTCACTCCTAGGATTGACTAAAAACACATCAGTCAAAAGCCGAAAACTTATTTCGGGATTTGACCAAAACGCTTGGTTGTTCCGCACATTCACCAGTCAATCTTAGGAACGCCCGTGCTTCGGTCTTTACCTATACACACGCACACACATTTTTCCATATTGCATACACATATATATGAAATTACCTATTTAACTCTTGAATAAAACTTAAAAAATCTCAATGCGAAAATGAATCCTAAATATGAAATTTAGAAAATGAATTTTAGATTGATATCCAATTTGAATTTGTCACGTATATTAATTTACATTAAATATACACATTAAAAAAATATATTTGGCATGTACATTCAGCATATAGCCATAAAATCCTATTTCTTGATTTACAAATATTTAACTGTTAATAAAAATGAAGAAGACAATTTTAATTGTCTTCTGCATGTAATTATTGCTATATAAAATTGAGGAAGTTTATTACTCTAGAAAACAAATAAGTAGTTATCTGTAATTTTTTTTACTTTGAAAAAGTGAAAACTAACTTGGTCTCTTCCATTTTATCTTAAAAAAAAAAAAAAAAAAAAAAAAAAAAAATTACATAGAAAATTCTATTACAAACCCTGCTGAATATAATTGGTATTGAAGACTCAGGACTGAGAAAGTCCGGTCCCAATTGCGCGTAATGCTGTTGCTGTTGTTCTAACGTTGCCAGCACCTCTTTGACCTTCTCTGAACTGCTGAGCAACTTCCAGTCCTCGGAGTCGAGTATACTTTCGCATTGAATACACACACTGGCAACTTGCGATCTCGTAGTCGTAAGATCCTTTTGCTGCTGTCGTAATGCGCACAATCTGCCGCGAGTTTCGGTCTCAATGTACGACATTGCCGTTTTCTCTTGCTCGGCCAGAACTGCGCGCAGCTCTTCGAAGTGATATCGCACTCTCCTCCTCGCGTCTTCGATCGCCCAGCCTTCCAATTCCTCGATCACTATTTCTAAAATTATAATGAACAAAATTAATACACATTAAAAAATTTTTAATCAGAACCAAATTTTTAATCAGAAAATGTAGATAATAAAAAGTACCTATTTTGTGTGCTGTGTCCCTCATACTTTCCATAAACTGCGTCATTTTTTGTAATGCTGCGATTATAGTCTTCCTCATGTTCTCGGCCTCTTCCTCCACTAATGCCGGCTGCGATTTCAAGATGTTAAAAAATAATTGGCAGGCAAACGTATGTGTAACACAAGAACATTACCTTGTGCATGCTGTGTTTGCCGTACTCTTTACACAGGTAGCACATCAATGAGTTGTTGCAGCCTTCTTGAGTGCACGTGAAATCAGCCACGTGCGTTGTATGTATCGGGCAGCGAGGTTTCTCACGCGGTTTCTCCGACAACGGTACGCGTCTGTGCTTGGCCAAAGTCTTGGACGAATGGGTGGCTGTGTCGCATATCTCACATAGGTGCGAGGCACAGACGGTGCAATAAAGAACGGCGACATGAGCCTCGTCCTCGTCGCACGACTGATTCGACTGAAGCCTCTCATGCTCCAACACCAATGTTTTCTCGCTGTTGGTCTGCTCCAGTCGCTCAAGCAGCTCGATCAGCGCAAAGTTTTTCTTTAAACTGTAGATGCTGTTCTCACTGACTGTAGTAGGCTGACGGTCGAAAGGACACAACAAGAACTGTTGGTCCGACATGCACGTCCTTAGACGCAAAAGACACGAGTGACACACTGTGTGTCCGCAGTGTAGCAGACGCGGCACCTTTACGCCATCCACAGTGAAAACTTCTTCGCAGACTCGACACTCTAGCATCTGTCAATTTACACATTCCTTATGAGCAAAAAAACAAGATACTGTTTGACTCGTTAAATTTACTAGCTGAATATTCAAAGAGTTTGACAAGCTTTGTCAAGCTAAATATTTAACTAAACACACACACAATACAAATCTGAATCGTAGCTTTATTTACTAAGAAATTTATAAATATCTCTTACATTCGATTTCGGTGCCGTTTTCAGCGAATGTTTCAGGTATTTGCTTAGCTGATCCGCGTCCTCGCTCATTGCGGAGATTCGATGGCGTTTCTCTTCTCTGTCGTTTGCCTGAAAATCCAACGAGTTCTTTACAATTGGAGAAACTGATATTCCCACAAAGGTTAACCGTGATTTTAAATTGTAAATCTCAACGATACAATTACAAAAGATGCGTTGATGATATTAATAGACAAACACAACGCGACATGACGTAATTTGCATTCTATATACTTAATATTCTCGGAGTTTTTCTCTCGAAATGTTTTTTATATACTTAAGTAAAAAATAAATAAATAACCATAACAACGCCATCGAAAGCTATAAGAGCAATAGATAATAGAAAACAGTTACATTGACGACAAATATTTGCATTTTTTAAAGAGGAAATATATAGGAAATATTTACAATATAAATATAGGATAGAAAATATATACAATATTTATAATATAACAAAAAATGAGATGTATAAATTTTTCTATTACCATCTAAAAATTATAGAACATGATTATCACGACTGAGAAGCGCATGTTAAACAAAAAATCTGCAAATCAATGCAGATAATAACGATCAATATTTATATGTAAAGATGCGGTAGTTTCATTGCTGTGTACATAAAATAACGTCAAATAACTACTACGGCGAGACGCATGTCTTTTTTATTTGCATCTTTGACTCGAAATATCTCGACATTCGCAATAATATCAAATATAATTTCACTTAATGTACGTATTAATAAACGTCAATACAAACTTTCAATTGCAGACCAGACGAATTCAATTGTTGTAATCAATCAAGAGACCTGAAATTTTGCTATTCAAAATTCGATATCTATCTGGCTGAATTGTTACATGTACACATCTATACGGACACGCCGCACGCACACATAAATCGCATTTTTCCGCCAAGGCGCATTAATACTTTAATTGTTGACTACCGCGATTTGGTTGGCGTTTGGCTGCAGTATGGCCCTGTTCCGCTATTACTGGCAGTACTGAACAATCTATAGGATACGTCACGCGAACCTATAAATTTTCAGTACTGCAAGTAATAACGGAACAGGGGATATATCGCGCGATAAAAGGTCTGTTCTTTTTACCTGAACTGACCGCACTAGTTCAGAGTTCATTTTTTTTACTCCACATTGGTAGAAAAAAAATAAATTCTGAACTAGTGTAGCAAGTTCAGGTAAAAAGAACAGACCTAGATGCTATGAACTTTTAAGAGTCGTCTACAATGGAAGTAGGCAGTATAGAATAAGGCCTTAAGGTCTATCTACATAAAGAGCCGTCTACAATGGAGAGTTGTAGGCCGTAATAGTAAGAAATTGACCAATCACAGACAAAGTACAGAAGAATAATCGATTGTAATTTGTCAATTTCTTACTGTTACGGTCTAAAACTCACCATTGTAGACGACCCTTTACAGCATGCTGAAGCGGTGGAAGGGATGCGCACAACAGCAACGAATTCTACCTGCATAAACTCGCTGCTGTTGTGCGCATCCCTTCCACTGCTTCAGGGCGATGTCCCATTGAGCGGAAATTTATAGCGGAACGGAATGTGCGGAACCAGCTCGACCAATCACAGCCATTCCGTTTTCTTTTCTTCGCTTTTTCTGTGGTTACGATTGGTCGAGCTGGTTCCGCACATTCCGTTCCACTATAGATTTCCGCTCAATGGGACATCGCCCTCAGCATGCTGTAAGGAAGCTAAAACTGTGAACACTGCTCAGGCTTCTCTCTGTATATATGTACAAGTACTGAAGTACCTTATACCGAAGTTCTGCAAGGTTAGGTGACAAAAATGCTTTTGGTATACACTAGCTGTGTTTCGATATTTTGCCAGTACTGGAAATCTAAACACATGTGACGTGAAATCGCAGATTTCTATATTATATTTCTCTAATATAGAAATCTGTGCGTGAGATTCTTTTACATCTAATGAGCGATAAAGTGCACGAGTGGTGTTTCTGAACGCAGTGCATCACAACATTTAATAACAACGCTTTGTAGTTGGTTCCAACTACAAAATTGTAGACGCTGGAATACGAGCGATAAATGGAAGTCATCATATGATTCTCCTTAAAAAAAAACTTTGTTCAGCGGCATGTGAAATTTTATCTTTACAGTTAGTTATCTTACTACATAATTGTTAATTCTTACTAGTTGTAAATACTAGTTGTAAATTGTTGTAATTATGTTTTATCGATAGGATAAGATCTAATTTCGCCTAAAATTGAGTTAGACGCAATACCGAAACAAAAGAAAAAATATAGTGCCATGATGGATCTTGGGAAACAACAAGTGTTTGAAGTAGGAAATATCGATGAAAAAATTGATCTTTCATTGCCTCCTACTTCGGGGGAAGAATATATCAAACGAGTAGTGTAAATATTCATTTGATTCTTTCACATTATTGCTTTTTTTCATCAAGAAGAAAAATATTTCTTATTTTTTTAAATTAGTCAAAATTTTTGTTTCAAATAAACAATATAATGATTGAAAATCATGTTGCAGAATAGAAGCCCAGAGTTGTGCGGACACAGTTGTAGCTGATTTAGATACATCAATTATTAAAAAAATACCAATAAGTTATTGTAAACTTGTAAGTTAATTTCTGATATATATATATCTTGTCTAATAAATCCTGACACGACCAATAATTTTGCATTAAACTTAAAAATTATAATTTTGAGAACATTTGCTTCAAAAATATAAAGCTGATAATATTACGTTATGTATTTTATGGCAATTTTTTAAATTTATGTAAATGTATTTTTGCGTAACAGATTTTTTGTATATCACAATTAAACATAGCATTTATGTATTTGTAAAAGTTACCAGGATGTGTCGAAGCACCATCAGGTCTCAGCCCAACATTAGAATGGCAACAACTTCAAGTTTCCAATTTTTCTGATGTAAGACTATATGTGAGCCAATTGAAAAATGAAGTAAAAACAAATAAACGCAAGTGGACAGCATCTTCTATTAAGCTGGTATAAAACTTTAATAAATCTGCTTTTGTTTATAAAAATTCAAAAGTGTGCGCGCATGTGCATTTTATTTAATTTTGCATCGCCTTTTTTGACGTTGCAGCCAGACATAAAGGATCAGCAAGGTTGGATCAAATTTTGTAACGGTGGAGTGGTGGATCCCACATTGGATATTGTATTTTGTTTCACTCAAGCACTCGCGGAACAATTGCTGGAGTATCTGACGGAGTGGGTGGAAACTGAGAGAATACTATCTTACCATATAGGCCAGTGGATCTATGCTTTACTTGTTATCTTGGAGGAACCGTTATTTCCCGATACATGCTTTACTTTACGCTCGCTAGCACGAGTGTGTTCAGCTCTTCGCGCTGAACAAGTAATATTATATTTATTGTACTATAACTAATCACCATTTCAATCTTGATGTTTGAATTAAATTGACCAACGCCTTGTGTTTTGAGAAAAGAAAGGAAAATTGAATTTAATTATCTTTTTTATATTCTCAATTCAATCAGCATATTGACTCTTCTAAAATTTCAAAAGAAAAGTTCAGTTGAATTCTTTAGACCATTCTATTTCTATTTTCTAGTCATGTATGTTTTTAAATGTAAGATAATATGAGAGAGAGAGAGAGAGAGAAGCAAGGGAAAAACGCTAAACTTCTATTAACAAAACATTTTTTTATTATGGAACTTTCTCTTATTTTATTTGCAGTTTTTGTGTTCACTGTTAGAAAAAGGTGAGAGGCGACACATATATGCATACATAATAAAATCACGCATTTATCGGATTATACAAAAGATTGAGAAAATAAAAGACTGAACTTTCCTTATGTGCTTAAACTAGATTACATGTCATCTTATATTGATATCTACAAAAATTTACGCCTGACATTTAACCAACTCTGTTCTCATATTTCTGATATTTTTTATTTTTGTTTTTGTAGCGTCTCCCGTTCACGTATGACTCAGACTTAAGGGCGCTAAATCTATTCATCTGTCTGGTGGCGAGGTACTTCCGTCAGTTGGACCTGGCAGATCATTGACATATCTTTTGTCATATATGCTATTCAAGTATTTACGATATGACACGACGTGTGTGTATTTATATACAGCGAGCTTTTTTTTTTAATAAACTGACACACTAAATTTTTTAGCAGTATTTCAAACGCAGACCAATACGTTTCGTTTTTTCTTATTCTCTTTCACAGATTTAAATGTACAACGCCAATTTATTAAGGAACGCAATATTTATGTGTATATATATGTATATATGTATATATATAAGGCAATGTTTAATGCTCGAATTAAATATTTGTATTACGGTAATCAATCAGTAAGCAAAATTTGGGAAACTGAATGATTTTTTTAAGCTACATTATCTTGGTCCTGAAGTAACGCAGTAGCTATTCTTTCTAAATCATCGTAACTAAGATGATCCACTTTGGTTTTCAAGTCCTTTATCAACTCGTGAACTATGGCTTCTGTGTCCGACACTGTGTAATAGCGCTTGAGCACTCGAGAGACCTCTTCTTTCAACAAGTGAATACCTGATTTTTGTGTTTGGGATAAAGATTTCGCTTCACTGGAGCCTTCTTCCGCTTTCTTGATTACTAATAAATTTAACTTGCTGCCATCTTTGATTCCTGGATAGAAACTTAGCGGGTTCTCATCTAAAACATTTGAAATTGAGTAAATAACGCTCTTACGAGAATTCATTGAAAGTTGCATAAAAGAATATTCTTGCCTGCTAAAGTCTTGCCAGTGAGTAATAATCTTTGTTGAGGTACAGCTATACCCAAAAGATCGCTCACTTTATGTTTCAACTCCAATACTGTCTCAGATGGTAATATCTAAGTTTTAATCATATAAATTCTCATATATACACATACATATGTACAAATAAAAATATGAAAAAATGACGTATTATTCACAATGAGAAAATACTTGAAAATAAGTCAAATTTTATTCGCAACAGAAAACTCTAAACTCGTCATAATTGGAAATTTAGCTGTTCGAAGGATAAACTAAACATTTAAATCTTTAACCTCTTATCCGAGAAACATCTTCTTCGAGACCATTACTTTGATTTTACAATATTTCACAAAATGTGTAATATACATTAATTTAGAAATAAAATTTCCAATCGCAAAGAAAACAACTAGGAGCGCAAAGAAAAACAAGGAAGAATTCTTTCTATACTTACGTCTACGACACATTCTTTTCCTTGAAGCTTTTTTACAATGATTTTCATGATTAGCGATATTAACGAACGAGAAACGTCGAATGAGTGATAAGCACACAAAACACGAGGAACGTGCAACAGCGAAGGATCAAGTTTCTCGAAATAATAACGCTTCCAAGTAGACTGATAAGAGCTGGGTCATTTTACGCGTACGAGAGGTTATATTTTGCGATTGCACGAACGGCGATACAATATTATCGGTGCTGGTGCCCTTACGGCTCAGTGGAACCTTGTAGCTCGTCCATACGCCATTCTACGTCTTCTTTGAGATTTGGATTAAAACCGTGGATCCTGGTTGGTTGGTTGGTTGGTGCAGTTGTGGCTTCCGGGCTATAAAAGGCAGCCCATACGCCAGTCTGAGACTGTAGAACACATGACACACACTTGCGCGAACTATATCGCACAAGTGTTTGCATGTTTGCGATCCTATTCGTTTACACAATACATCAACTTAAAAAGGAGCAGTATCGTGAATTCGTATATGATGACCACTAAACTATAATACAAAACGCGCTTTGCTATTCCGGCTGCCTTCTTTTTAGGGGCGAAGTCCCTCCTGCCTACACACACTACCAAAGGCACCCGAAAAAAAGTCAATCACAAAAATTAAAATAAGTTAGGCCCTAACCCAACCTAATCTGATTAGGCCCTAACCAAATATTAGTACCTAACCAATTAGTAGAGCTAGTCTAAGTTAGCCAAAATATTTTTTTTTTAAATACTGGGCATACACACAACTACCAAAGGCACCAGAAAAAGTCAGTTCCAAAAATTTAATTAAGTTAGGCCCTAACGTAACTTAATCTGGATAGATCCTAACCAAGTATTAGTACCTAACCGATTAGTAGAGCTAGTCTAAGTTAGCCACAAAATATTTTTTTTTTAAATAGTATGTAAGTATAGTAATACTAATATCTAGGTCAGTATGTTTTCTACAGAAAATAATATTAAAGTAATTTCAGATTCGGATACAGTGGAACACGATGATATTACATCTTTACTTCCGATTCGCGCAAACACAACAAAAAAAAGTTACGTTTCTTATCTTGAAAACTATTACCAATAGAAGATTGAAATTACAGCAGTGTAATCTCTACTTTAACTCAAGTCGACTCCTACACTCATAATTATAACGCCCACTTAAAAATTTTTATTTGTTTTTGGTATTTTAAAATTAAGGGGCTAAGAAAAAGCTTGAGACAAAAGTTGTAGATCTTGACGAGATCTATCAAAGAGGTGCTATGGTCCGAAGCTCTATCTACAATATTGTAGAAGTTATGAAGGTTTTTGTAATTTTTGTAACTTGTTTTTCTTCA